TTTCTACCCACTGTCGAGTCTGCACCGGAGGGGAATATTGTCGCTGTCAGCGAATATGTTTTATAACAGCATCGCACCCAGGATGCTATCTCGACATAGATTGAGAGGAGGAGGAGGAGGAGGAGGAGGACTGGGGGGAGGGAGGGAAGATGCCGCATCGAGCTCGCTAGGTATTGGATTTGTAATAGGGGCCACGATATAGGCGCACCCGCTCTTACCTTCGAAATTGCAAACCGTTTTCTTCGATGGGTGATATCGCAAAGTCTACCGGGTCGATTATTTGCACGGAGCAGAGGGCTACGTTCTCTCATACTCCTTTTCTTAAACGTCTAAAATTCTCTCTAATCGCCATTCGATATCATGTCAGTTTCTAAAAACTATAAGTATTATCGCCTTTTTCTTCTTTATATGACCTTCAATGTCCTTGTGTTATAGATCTTTGAATTCGTTTTAAGATTCTCTATCATGATACGAAAGCAAAAATATACCGATCCGTTTAAAAAAATGTCGGTGACCTTCAAATGTCTGAAGTACCTCCACCTGGTGAAAAACTATTATCACCACTGGACGACCCCCTTCGTACTGTGCAATTTTGTTCCAAGAAATGTTTTTGTAAAACTTATAGTTTAGAAAATATTTGAGGTTGTAATAGTTATTGCCCCATCCTGTATATGATACACGAAATATGATGATAATATTGAGACTGGAAGTAAATTATATATTCATATTTGTCTGTGTCTTTTATATGTATATCTGAATGGTCGACTGCACTTAAAAGCAGTGTTGATTTACGTTTACTGTTAATTTATACCATTCCAGCCAGTAATTATGAAAATGAGAGGACGCATAACCTAACTTTCTTAATTACTTTGCCTACCTGTGAAATAGCGTTAGAACAGAGGGCTTTGCAATAATTTATTATAATTGCACCCTCGCACCAGCCTCCTCAAGAATTTTTAATAAGAAACCCTTGAAATCTGCATAACGTATGTAACACACGTAACGATTACTTATAATTAAGAATATTCAATTGCAAATCAGTGAATCTGAAGAATTCTTCAGATCTGACTAACTTATAGTCAAATTATTTTCAAGTATGTGATTGGGAATAATTCTAGTCATAAATAGAGGAAATTTTATACTATTAACAAGTATTAATCAGTTACTTGGAAGCCAAGTTTGCAGCCTAGATTTAGGCAAGAATCGAAAATGTAGCATGGGAATGGAGATTCAGCTGGCGGGTACACGAAAATGGGTGGAAGTTCTGAGCAAGTTTCAGATTAGTTCTAAGCAGAATCTCGTTGAATCCCAACAAGACTGCTCCGGAATTAGACTTAGTTCGATTCGGTACAAGATATCACATAATAAAATTTAAATGAAGTCTCCATAAATCACCTAACTTATGCTAGAATTAAGTATTATAAACTCATACAACATGAAGAAAATGTAGTTTTCCATTTTCCATTTTGAATATCAACCCCAAAAATCGATTTAAGTAAGCTTTTTATGTTAACTCACGAGTCATATAAATGACTTAATATGATTATAAAAAAATATCACATAATAAAATTTAAATGAAGTCTCCATAAGTCTTCGAACTTATACTAGAATTAAGTATTATAAACTCATACAACATGAAGAAAATGTAGTTTTCCATTTTCCANCCTAAGATAAAAAATCCTGAGAGACAGAGTGTAGCTAACCTTCAAATAAACCTGAAGGTTTGTATGTATTAATTAAAATTCTTGTTGCATATCCAGGGTACGTGTTTTTCTGTGAGAATAGGGTAAGATTTCATGAAGAGACAGTACGGTATCTGGGAAAAATGTAAGAAAATAGAGAGCGGGTTTTATGCGGGGCACGTAAGTGCTGTTTATCGCGGAGAACGTTCCCGGACGTCTTCAGGTTCGAATTGTTTCGAAGGAAAATAGGGAGCGTCCGTGTAATACATACACCGGTACGCCCCGGACGTACGTAAACGAGACAGGGGCGGGTAGGGCGGCCGCGTTTGATTATGCGCGACACGTATTCTCAAACACAATCCTGCGACACTCGTAACGCAGGTGGAATTCGAGCCAGATAACTGAATTAATTAAGTCTCCTGCAAATGAGGAGATACCCGCGTAACAAAGCTGAATTAACACTAATTCACACGCGTGTACGTGTGACTCTGTCCCGCGACTCCGGCTTCACCCAATGAAAGGTGAATTTCCGGTTTCGACAAGATTAAGCAAAAACGCCGAAAAAAAGTAATTAATAATTGAATGCTTCATAAGATTTTCAACTATTATACATTCTTTCAATATCGAATCTCTTCATTATCTGCCATGCAGAAATCAATAAATGTTCAAGTATTCAATTTTTTATACACTAGCCTAATTTTACGCCTACACTAATTAGCCTACACTAATTTTATGTACTGCATCGATTTTAGTTACTCTGATACTAAATAAAAAATAGTACTAATTCAGTTAAGTTTAATAACAACTTGAAGAGCATCTAATAAATCATTATTATTGTTCTCAATTATAATACTCTCTCAAATTTAAGGTTGAATTGAACTATTTCATTTCTCAATTGAAATTTCTAATAGAAATGTACGAACGAATACTAATTGCGAATTGTAATATTTAACAGATTTTGTTGTATTCAATAAAAATGAAAAAATTGGTAAAATTTTATTATTTGTATACGTTCTTTTGGGTATAAAATGATTTGAAGTAACCCTAAAGTTCTTCTCTAATATAGCCGAAATCGTCTCGAGTTGCTGGTTCGCTCGAGCGCAAAAGGCCTCGAGTGCAAAGGGTTAATAACTCGACAATCATGCCTCGGACAACTTGTTTGCAAAGGAAAAAGTTGTTTAAAATCATCTCTGTTCCTCCCCTAACACTAGTTCTGGGACAGCCTGTGTATTTATATTTATAGGCTGTAAATGGACTTATACTTGTTTGTTAATAACTCGACAACCATGCCTCGGACAACTTGTTTGCAAAGGAAAAAGTTATTCAAATTACTTTCTTTTTGCTAACTAAAGTTAATGTTTAAGTATGCATTAACACGTAACGAAGATTTTTAAGTACATCTATCTACTGCTTGTGGCTGTAAATATTTCCCCTATCAATGGCAGACTGTAAAAAATTGTTCCACAATTTTGCTCTCTCAAATTCAAGGTTAAATTGACCTATTTCATTCCTCAATTGAAATAGAATAGATAGAAATCATTGATATCCTTTGATTGTGCTTGAAGTGCTTCCTACATCCAATTCAAAACTGATTCCTCAACTAATTTCTAACAGAAATCATTGATATCCTCTGATTACACTCCTTCGTCCTAATCCTAAGTCCTTCGTACATAAGATTAAAAAATTGCCTGATACAGACTTAACAGCGGATTTTTCTGCAAAGATAAACATTTTAAAGATAGAAGCATTGAAATACATTCAATTTACAGAAGCATTTATCATTTCTGCAGATAGAATTTTCCCTGAATCATTGAAAATTCCTATGAAGCAGTCGCAGTAAATATAAATATAGTTGCACTCACCTGAAGACTTGGATGACATCCTAATTCCAGTAACGTACGCACAACACCCGCGTGGCCTTTATTCACTGCCATATGAAGAGCCGTCTGTCGCCTCTTATTCCTGGCGTTTAAGTCAGCCCCAGCACCAGCTAATAACGCCATTACTCCAGGCTCGTCTCCAAAAGCCGCATGATGCACTGCCCTGTCACCGTCTTTATCCTCGATTTCAACATCCGCCTTGTAACGAAGGAGGATCTTGATGACTTCTAAATGACCGTTTTGACTTGCAGCTTGCAGGGCTGTATGGCCAGCGAACACGCCGTTCACGTCAGCTTCCGGCCTCTTCAAACACTCCTCGCACTTAGCAGCGTCGCCGTTCGCTGCAGTTTTCACTAATTCTTCGTTAACATCCCCGGAGACGTGCGTTTCAAACAATTTCTTTAACAACGCTGACAGCCGTTCGCCGCTGCTGTTACCCGGTGCGCTGCCGTCGTTGCTCGCCACTTTGGTAACAGCCTGAGGATTGTACGTCCACGAAGTCCCGCAGACTTCGACCTTCAAGTCCCCGTCGTGATATATTTGCAAAACTCTACCAATTTTTCCCATAGTCGGCGCCATCGCTTCGGCCCATTCTCCATGGCCACGTTGCAGCAGTTTAATCTTCTCTAAATCGTTGCAGATCTGCACTAATTCTCCCACGGCGAATGTTTGATTATCAGAACTTGAACTAGTAACCGGAACCCGGATTGGGACTTTCGTTAATACAGCAGGGTTGAAGGTCCATCGATTTCCACTCGGATATGATACGACGATGTCGTGGTCCTCGTCGATGCCAACGACAGTTCCTGTGGTACCGAGGCATTCGAACATCCCGTCTGTCCAGCCGCCATGGCCGTGCTGCAGCGACTGCACAATTTCTAATTCCAAATCGACGTTCACCTACGAGAATTGTTATTTAAGTATTTCGTATTTATTAAATTTATTCGTTGTTTATTAATATCACTGGAATGGTTAGTCACCTGGTCGCCAATTTGCAGCCCGTGGGGACCAGTACGACCAGGGCCCTGCTCGCCTAGTAATGGTAAATGATCTCTGTAAACTGTCTGGCCCTTAGCGTCGTTCACCACCTTCAAATCAGCCTGAAACATAAATAGTATAGTAAATTAGTATAGTAAGTTAGTCAGAAGGTCGTGGCCATGCCTGATGTATTAATGAATGAATAATTTTCGACCTACCATTCCTTCAAACCCGACGCGATACAAATTCTTGGCGCCGATATCCCAGATAACGTAAGCCGCAGAACGTGGACTGGCTGCTGACCAATCCTGAACTTCATTCACTTTACCCCTTCGACCATTCCCACCATCTTGATCTTCCCATTGCCAATCGACGCCTCTTACTACTCTCGCACCAGGAAAAATCCCACGAATCGCAATCTAATAAGAAAATAATTAACATTAACAAGTGTGTGGATTTAATTCATAGAAGAATTGATCATGATTGAAATTAATAAATACCTTTTTGCTTTTGCGCCTGGGTTCCAGTAAAACTCTCTCACTACCAGGAGTCGCAATGCGATAGAATCTGTGTCTCAAATGATGCTTATCTCCATGATAACAGATTGAACACAGATCATAATTCCCACATTCTGCACATTTCCAACGGATTCCGAAAATCGGCTGCTGCCTACAAGTGTCGCACATAGTACCGTCGTGTTTCACACCAGTTGGAGCTGAATCTAATATCCTCAGGTCGAAAGCACCAGAACAACGATAGTTCGCTGCTGTACCATTGTCCCAAACGACGACCACTTCTTCTGGGGATTCGAAATTTCTCACAGTCCCCACGTGGCCTTCCCCTCCATCCTGTGATCAAAAATATGAATTAAAATTATGTAAAATGTTTTAAAAACAGAATAATTATTATAGATTTATAATAAAATACATTGAAACATCATGTAAATGTGAAGTTTTATGCTTTAAGATAATCAGAACTGAACATAAGCAATTCTATTTGATATAATTTAATATAAAACAGTTCAACGATAGAAGAATTATAGTAGATTTATAATAAAATGTATTAAATATGAAAGAAATGATTGAAACATTAAGTAAACGTGAAATACTGTGACGCAGGATAACCTAAAACGCATGTATACAATTTTGTTTACAATGCCATGAAAAGTGAAAGTATATATGGGAAATAATAGAGAAAGACGATGTTTATTGACGATGATTGATTGATTTCAATTGTAATTTACGAGTTATGTGAAAGATCGTGTAGAATTCGGTTAACCTGTCAACTAACCTGTTTACCCCATTTCCAATCCGGCCCGCGGATCACTCGAGCACCGACACCCTCCATCATAAATCTGGTCGTACGAGTACCGGTACTCGCACCAGCCTCCATAATTCATTCACCGAGGAATCTTAACGAACGATATTAAAAACGAAACAACGCGCACTTTTACTTGGTATCACGAACAATGAAAAATACATGGAAATTCCATGCGGTAACCATAGTGAAGTTGGCCGCAGCGCGCTCTGACGTTAGTAACTTACAAATGGCGTTCGAAATCACTAACCGTGATTTTTCACGGTGATAAAATCGCGATCACGAGTCGTGATTAGACTCAATCACGGCTGTAATTAAGATTTTTGATAGTAAGTAGATTCTCTGTAATCATAATATTCACATTTATTCCATATCTACTAAAATTGCTTGAAATAGGTTACGATTTATGAGTTATAAGTTTGTTACTGATTAATTATTGTGTTTAAAGAAGATAATAAATTAGTACTCAGATCATCTCTTAATAGTCATTTTATTAAAACTTATATTAGAATACAGTCAATCTTGAAGAGGATGGAATGCTCGTTAGAATTAAATGAATATCAAAATGAATTTGCTATCGCGAAACATTTACATAAATATATTTACAATAGTTTACACATATATAAAACTTGGTGAGAATCACAGAGCTTCGTAATTGGTTTTATTACGTTCGTGTATGTACTTATCAGGCTTGAAGCGTGTGTGTACACCTTCTTCTACATACAACGTGTAGCTGAGGATATTGTAAATGGTTTTACAATTCAAATGGTAACACTGACTGACTGATCGTGTTTGTGGCAAAAGTTACATCGACTAACTCTACGAACAACGTGATATACCACAGTATTAGGTATTGGGAATTGACACATTTACCAGCGACCCCGAGCATGGCGCATGAGGAGAATAGTAGTGGGGATCAAAAAACGGGCGAAAAAGAGGGGAAGCGAGCAGTGCGCGACAAATTCTGAGATTCTTGCGTCTCAGGCCTCCCTCCATACACGGTAAAGTATTGAGATGCGCAGAACAATCAAAAACTGAACTATGCCTGTTCCTAGACTCTCGGGAACACGAGTGTAGATTTTTAGGGCCACGAGTATAATTCCTGGCTTCTCGTCGCCATGATGGTTAGCAATATCTATTGACCCCTGTGTCAATTCCCAATACTATGGTGATACTTCAAACACTTTTGGCATTTGTTCTCCTTTTACACTCTTAAGATATCACAATTATCCTTTGTTTCTACTTAATAATAATTATTATTCACTATTAAGTTCAGTTATGCACTCAAACGATTCTAAGAAATCATTCATACATATCACACTCTTGTCTTTGCACTGTTCCCCATTCACGAAGTTGGTCCCGATTAGCCTATAGTTTAGCGCCATCGGCGTTTATTATGTCACTTCCCAGACGGTTGATCCGTCGTCATTTCTATTGTGTCTGGAAGTGACGTCGACGTGGGCGTCTAAACCGTCGCTAATTTTACTAAAACGTCTCGCCCAACTGCCTCTTCCACCCCCGGCAGCCCTCCCTATACTCCCTGCTTCCCTCAGCATCGATAGAATGTCGTCTTCGTCCTCTCTGCTCTTTATGCCTTTTTCATACTTAGCCTCCTGTGCTAGTAGTCGTTCTCGTTGTAATTGGGTGGACAGAGGCTGAGGCACTGCTGGTATTACGTAACTCATTATCCCAGTCAATGCGAAAACCTAATTAAAAATTGAAGTGTATCTTAAAAATTATTTTTTTATAATTATTATTGATTATTAACACTAGAAAGACTGAAACTTAGTATATACCTATATTGC